GTTCGAAACGGCGATGTGGGATTTAGACACATAATAACGAACGACTGAAGAGATGAAAAACATCGTGCTATGTTGCTTTGAAGGTTCACTTGATAGACAGACTTGATACCTGCACAGACCGCAACATGAAAGCACCCGCTACTAATAAACGATCGAAATGAAAATGGATCGATTCGTAAAAAGAATGTAAAAGAAAAGCTTGCAGATGTTAGCATAAGGACAAAGGCGGCGAAAAGGTAACGCGTGAAATGGAAGCGATTTTCATAATGGATACTCTCGTAGAATTATGTGGCTTTTTACACACAGTTTCTAACCCATAATCACATAGGTTAGGTCACTTGACTAAAAAGATCAACTGAACGTTAGTGTAGGCGTTAGTGCTCCTCTAAACGACAAATTGCTTCTTTATATGGGTTATACCCTAGGTAGTTATCGTGTCGTATTATTTGTATTCAAGGACAACGAGCGTTACGATAGTAAACAGTTGGTGGAATAGCTAGCAGGTAGGATGACATTGTTTACGAAGACCGTGATTTTCTTCACTTCGGTTAAAAGATATAGCGGAGTTGCTTGGGACCTGAGACACTCCCTAAACAAACTGAAAATATTAAGTAAAAGTTTAATTTCTACATGCCTGATTCAAAATGCATCTTTTACCGGCTTGAAGAATTGTAGACGCTCGGAAAGTCTTACGGACTAGCAGCACTAGAATAAGGGGAGAAAGGTCTTGGCTTCGACGAGAATATTTCACTTTAGCAAACATTCAGCCGGGCTGAATTTAGAGGTAGATTGGATATCCCTCATTTCTAAAGTCCTTCATAACGGAAAGAAATCCACTTATTCCACTGTTAGAATGTCAGGTGCTATGGAATTTTCTTCTAAATAAAGTACGACGAAAATATAAAGTCGCCTACTGTATAGCCGGCTCACAAAGCTGTGTGCGGGAGTGTTATCGGCAGTTGTCTCTAATCCGTATCTCATTAGACCACCGAGCATCTAGTTTCAAAACAAAAGTGTAGCAACAACATGGACATTGTGGATATTTAAGCCAGCCCATGTAACAGAATATGATATTTTATTATTCGTGAAGCGTATTATGCACCTTGCGGATAGAGGTAAGCAGGCTGAAGCAATATAATGTCGTATTGAAACGATCCCGTGTAGTTAGAGCGAACGAGATAGTTAAAAAAAAAAAAAAAAAAAACCGTAAATAAGTTTTCAATAAAAAATATGGCGCTTGTATTATTTTTTTTTAGCCCTCACATCATTAAAATTGAAAAACTTCGCTTCCTTAACTCACCTTCAGAAAACTGTGTGACGTAGTCGAAGGGAACGCCGTCAGCGCCGCCGTCGTCAGATAAAAGCGAAATGTAATTCGTCTTTTCACGTTCACATCTCACGAGACGCAGTGCCATAGTGCTACCTATGTATGCGTGCATAATTCGACTGTTGTTTTTCGGAAACTTTTTTAAAAATTATTCCATTCGATACTGATCGGGAATCAAGCATGTGCACCTGTATAATCATTTAAACATAATATAAATATATCACACTTATTTGTGAAGCAAGTAATGTTCGTACGCGAAACAATAAATGTCCTGAATAATAAAACAGATTTTTACTATTTTCGATGGCTCAACTTAGCAAGACAAGAAAACTTTCTACTAAAGGTTCATGTCTGGTAAGATTAAGGGTTTTCTAGTTAAATGCTATAAAACATCTTCCGAATCTAGTCACTATACCTGTGATTTGCGCGCCTCATCGAAGGTACACATATGTACCGGGATTATCCATTATCGGTCGTCGCTAGCACAATGACGAGTGGTGCTAACGGCGGTACCCCGTACGTTCAATATGCGCTGGACAAGGTGGCATACAGTTTTCTTTAACTATGCAAAAATAAAATGTGCAGTTTTCGTAATTTGCTTGACTTTCCAAGTGGTCTTCAATATAACATTGCATGTCGTAGCAAGAAATAAGCAAATCATAAACACTGCAAATCAATCGGGTAGAGTCAATTGAAAAGAAATTTTTGGCTCCTCTTATGTAATGAAGACAGTACTCCTCTTAGATACTCGGCATGGATTAGAATCTGTAAATAATAGATAAATAACTTGTGCAGTGGCAACCGTTCGGTCCCGAAGCAGGCATCAGGGGAAATCGAACAATAGGAAAATGCATGTGCTCTTGGTCTAACGATAAAGTTTGCTACATGTAAGGCTCATAGTCCAATATCGCTGACCAATAGCATAGCCACGAAGAGCTGCCAGCTGCGTTACCTAAAGGATCCTATTTTCTATAAAGGGCAGTCGCCATTTTCGTGCTGAAAGTCGTGATGATAAATACGAGCCACAGGAACGATAGTGATAGTTAATGTTGTTAAAACAGCAATAGAGAAGCGTGGGAAGTAAATGAAGCAGTCGATTGAACTATGCTGTGGTGTACGTGGTGATTCAAAAATGGTATTTATTAAAAAGTGCCTAGTTTAGATTATACAAAATGTAAGTCTTAATAATTTATATCACAGACGGTATTGAGCAACAATTGGAGCTTGGCAGAGGTTTCTGGTGCACATAGCCAACCTTTCACTAATTTCATCATTCCATACGTCCGCTCGACCTCCGGTTTCGTCAGAGGCGTCAATAGCGTGGCTAATATTTGAAAATCTCAGAGAATAGTGAAAAATCATTCAACGGTCACTTGGGTGGTATCCTATGAGCAAAAGTCTTGCTCCCGAACAAGCTGATCGGACTTTGTGCTCTTCTTATTAGCGGCTGCCGTTCCGCGAATTTTTTTTTACTACTCAAGTCAATATGGCCGAGCTTCTTATACGATTCTACAAGATCATTGGGTACTTTTTCAGAAGAATATATAACGAAAAGTTACCAAGTGCTTCAAGGTTTACGATGGTGCTAGTGAATAGTATCTGTCCCATTGTTCACCAAGCCTGAAGTACCAAGAGTGAGATGCGGAGGGGGCATGGTCTTCCAGCTTTTATCAGGTCAAGAGGTGATCACCCGAAACTAAGAATTTAATGAAGCTCGGCGTGATAGTTGTATATTAGCGTTTGCGTGTAGGTTTGTTTACATAATCAGATGCATGCAATGGGACGTTTCTTTGTTGTCCTAAACGTTCAGTCTTCAGAAACGCTGGGTTAGGTCCGTATGCATATCGACGTTGTCGAATAGACGATCACATCATAACCAGCACTGAAATAAAAGTAAACAGATTCATAAGGTAAGAGTGACTTACTTATAATAAATTAAAGGTTTACTATGTCTGGCTAGGTACTGTATTAATAGCCCTTTACGTTTTCTACTCATGAACTGAAGCGTGGCATCTTTCGTGATCGACCGTGGCGATGTAAAATAAAAGTTTGACTGAAAAGTATCTGTTGGTATCTTATCCTGTATAAGACCCGACTCCCGATCTAACAAATAGGATGTCGTCGGCATTATTCGTTCAACCACTGTACTGCGTGTTACCTTTAATACACGGCCGCGAGCCTGCTTCGAGAAACAGGCTCTTTTTGGTATCTACTGTTGTAAATAGGACTGAATGAGAAATATATTCATATTGCGCTTCTTGGAGACAGTTTATCCTGCACAGTGCTACCAATGCGGTCGTATTCGACTCGGACATCACGGCAACGATGCACGTCAGGATCATTCATATAACCGTATACTGGAACATCGTTCGAGGTTTTCTGCTTAGCCCACTTGAACGAAGGCCTGTGAGATTTGATCTCCTTGGCTAGGTTTGTTCGAACGCGCTCCGTAACTCTACAACGAATTTAATTACATTCCTTATTATAACTTAATTTTAGATTATCTAAGCAGGAGTAGAAGGCGGGCTATTTAAATACATGGAGCGCTTGAAACAAGTAAAATTATATGTAGATGTAGTTGTTTTTCGAAGTTATAGATATGACTAATTCATCGCTTCGACAGGATAAATTACGAAAAGCTTTCAAGATAAATGCGTAATAATTCAAGCTAAATATTCGGGCCGAGTAGCGTAAGGAACATTTTAGATGCGAACGATTCTAAGAACACTGTCCCAATTTTTAACTAGGAAACGGATCGGGGCGCCTAATATCAATTACTTGAAAAATCTAGACCTTTCAATGTAAATGTATACTAATCAGATGACGTACGTTTCAGATACTAGTGAATAACATAAACATTCAGTAAATGTATTTGGCTTAACAAGAGTAACCGTATTTTATCACGGCAACAACCACCTCTGATATCGATAATCAGTCGAGGATGATACTTTGAAGTATGGTCTCTCGCAAAGCAAGATTTATTGCTTTCCTTTAATTTACCAGCAAATAGTAGCATCTAATGTATCATTATATCGATGAATGAAGTTGTTTCAAATTGAAAACACAACTTCCCGACTATTATGAGTGTAAAAACAGAGCACCTTCGTTCGTCGTGTTAAAAAGAAAACTTATTTCTTCATTTAGACAAGCCAAAAGAATATCTAGAATTTATTTAGAAGTCTTTTAGCTTTATATAAGATATATGATTGTTGTCAGCCTTCTAGTTTAGTCTGCAACAGTAATGAGGGTATGCTCCGTTAGACAATTTCAATTAAGTAAATTCCTGTTATATCATAAAAGTAACTTGGCCAAGAAGCGTAATAGAAAGTAAATGTATAATATATATAGATAAAGTGAAACTCTATAATCGTACACAGGACAGTACTAATGCAATTTAATTCAACCTTGGATATTACTAATTATGTCCTAACAACAAATAATACGATTTGATATATATATATATATATATATATATATATATATATATATATATGTATAAATTAATAAATAATATAAATTTATTGCTTTTTGAACGAGTTCTAAATTCTGAGCTTAAAGCCGAACGACCGAGTGGATCCGGGTCCGCATTGGAATACAATCGTTGTCAAAATACGTAATTATCGTGACATCACAAGGGCACACACAGTTATTCAGTACAATTGGGAGCGATATGCTATATATTGCAGTCGTTGGCACGATGGCCAAGTGAGTATGGAGAATCTTCTTCAATCAGCCGATCGTGTTTAAGAGGCTTCTGAGAAATACGAGTGCTTAACGATGATAACTGTTTTTTCACTGAGGCATGTCGAAATGGTAAATTTAGTGTTGTCGAATGTACAGCTTGTGTAGCGGTGACGGTATCGGCTCGAAGACAGCGTCGGTACGTCTGTGCAACAACTGACAGTACGATCACAAAGAGCAGAACAGCGGTCATAACTACTAATTCGATGTAACTGACTGATATCCACAAGCCGGACACGTGTTTAGCCGTGTTGATAACAAGAGCTCTGCTCCGCCCGACAGGGTCACGAATACCGGGCACAAAAGCTGTGATGGTCAGCTGGTAAATTTTGTTTGGCCATAGAGTTAAGACGCCCATGTTGTTAGATGTAGCCAATTGTCCAGTCATATCGATATTCTGATCGGGCTGTTTCCATTCAACAACATACTTAACTGCCGCTTTATGAGACACTTGCTCCCAGGAAATAACAGCATCAACGCCGCCAGAATTCATACTTGAAGCACGCAGGGATTGGAGAACAGGGACCCAGCCGTCTTGTAGGTAGTCGAGCGACAATTCTCGATGACGACTGGTATAACCTGGAGGCATGCCTTTCATCGCGGTGTCCTTGTACATTCCCTCAATATTTGCATCTTCCGAATAGAGATTTAGTTCAGAGCACGGTTTCTCTACCTCGGCGGTTCTTCCTTCGGAGTCATAAGACGTCAATCGGATGTACGACGAGGATTTAATAAGACTTCGACGCACGGTAGCGTTGTGGTAGAAAGTTTGTTGTAGCTGCTGCCAGCCGCCAGAGAGTTCATCCCGTACCAACAGCGCGTAAACTAGCTGCCCAATTTGGTAGTCTTCTTTGGGCCGCGTCCACTCGAAATGGAAGGCATCTTTTTCCGACAGATAGTGGTGTTTTAGAGGTTGTATAGCCTTAGTATCAGAGCGACCTTCTTGGGTCAAGGAATCCAAGTGTGAGCTTACGAAACTGCATGATTCTTGACAACCCGGGAACTAAATATCGAATTAAGATAGAAAAGTTGCATAAAATAAATTAACTAGATGTGATCTATTCAAGTTACACGGTGCATGCAACAATGTCCGCCAACGAATTCTTTAAACGGACGACACATTACCCATCAGAAGAAACTTACGCTTGAGAAAAAAAAATCACTGTCATCGCTTACCCGCATACAGTCCGGATCTTTTCCACACATGTGCCCCCATACACGAAAGCCTCCATACAACATATGGCAGGAGTCCCAGCACTGAAAATAACATTATGAAAGAGTTAGTTGTAAACGTCTTTTAGAAGCCCATTCAAGAGAATTTTCCTAGCATTGCATTAAAATAAGCTTTTTTTTTTTATCTCATCATAAAAATCCTTATTCAAAAAGATCGACTATCATAAGGCAAGTACTATAAAAAACATCACTTGCACAATATGAGGCGAGTCTAACTTTTACGTGTCGAAAGTCGTGACTTTATTCTGCCGCAAAAGAAAAATCGTTCTAGATGGCATGCCTCCAATAACCTTTCTACAGCAACGAAGCTCGATTTTTATTTGAGTAGACACATAGGTGGCAACTTAGTCAATATTTAACAGACAGCTTTATTTCAGTGATTCCTCATTGAAAAGCGCTATAAAGTGACGGACTCATGCTGACCCTTACCATCCAACAGTCGGCGTCATCTCGGCAATTGGTGTTCATTTCAGGCATATAGAACTGCAAGCAGAAAGAAGTAATAAACCCGCTTAGTTTGACACGACTGTAAAATAAAATCTAGCACAGTCTCAGTTATCAATAGAATAGGCGATCACCGTTGCGAGCTCAGGATAACACTGGCTATAATTCGGTTTCAAATGTTTCGGCGACAAAGAATAGGTATTAGGTGCACGAACACTTCGCATGTGTTTTCACTATTGATCATACTCTCGCGCCGATTTCCGTTATCACTGTACAGTTAACTCATGTGAGTATAGGGCTGTGTCACTAGGATGACGTCATTGCTGAACGTGATCTTCCCATGAAAAAAGGTGCTGGCCGTCTATTATTTGAAAACAGGCGGGATCTCTTTGCATCTCAGTTGAAACGATGGCATACACATCGTAGATAGTTAACTGAGCTGGTGGTCCATGAGAGGTCTAGCTTCTGGAATTTATCATACAACAAATTGTTTTTGAAAATGTGCTTACCTTGTTGAGGCAGTGGGCACGGCATCTGGCCTTCAGTATATCAGTTTTCTGGTCAAAAATTTCTTGGGCAGTGGCTGCCCCTACAAGAAGAGCACAGGCTATTAAGCCAGCCATGTTGGTAAACGTCTGGAGGTGGACAAGTGAAATGCGCTTCTCGATCGTCTGGTGTGTAGAGTGGAAGAGGCTCCTGTTATGTACTTCAGGGGCTTTCCTACTTCACATACCGACTGGAGAGGGAAGAGGCACGCTTGGCGGTCCAGCAATGCGAATTTTTCAATTACCTAATTGACGCGGGTAGATTGGATTTTATTATCACCTACTTGTCAGATCGGGTCAACTTTTCTTGTTTCTTTAATTAAATTGATAGCCAATAATAATCTTCGAGATCAAAAAAGTAGAGTATCCTCATATGATCCCATTAATAGGCATGCGTCCAATGCTTTAGTAGCTGATTTGAAAAACCCCATCCGTGTCTCCATGTGCATCTCGAAATTAAATACACATACATTGCAATATGTAATGGGCCATCGAAAGATTTCTCTCAAACTATCGGTGACTTCCAACAATATGTTATAGCTTTAACAGGCTTTACTCGGAAGGGTTAAAAGTTATCAATGTAGTGCGGCGCCCATCATTTTTGATGTACGTCCGATTCACGGAACTCAACCGTCCAAAATTCTGTAGTATTGAACGTTCTGGTCACTGTCTCTGTATTCCGTTTCTATCTTCCTAAGCATTAGAAGATTTTATTCATGAAAGGATCTTTTTAAGCCGTTTGGCTTACCAGACCGTGTTTTAGCTATGCGAAATAGAAATAGTATGAAAAATTCTGTAAACATGAGAAGTAATGCTACGGTTAGTAACTAGTGAATATATATTATATTATTTAAACGTGTTCCTTAGCTCTCTTCAATTGTAAATGACATACTGTGAGATACAGGGCGTTTAGGCGCGCCTAGACCACTACTTGTCTCTAAGTCTATTATGGCAGTATATTACCATCACGAAAATAATGTTACTGAATTGTATTTGGCTGGGTGGCCTCACTAGAACTTCATGAGGTCCGGTACAGAAATCCATTTTCTAAAAACAACAAACAACAAGAAAGTTCGTAGAGCAGCCGTGTGACAATCAGATGTCCTTTAGTACACACTTAGCACTCGTAAAGAAAACGACTGGATAAAAACTTTACACCAAAGCTACTTGTCTAAAAAGCTTGCTTAGCATGTCCTGTTGAGCAAGCCGTTGTTGTCTTTATAGAACATATGCACATGTTTGTACTATAAACAACAAATACATGAGAGGTCTCTGAATTGCGCCTTGAGAACAACCTGATGCGGTCCGCGTGTTTTCCATTCATTCAAACAGAAAAAAAAAATGGGTCGCTAGGAAAACTTTTGTTCTGCCTCATCAGTCAACCTCCGATGCCACAGTAAGGAAACATCTTAAGGAACTTGGAACAGACAGCTCGCTCGAACGCTGAGTTGAAATCGACGTACATTACGTCATACCGTCCGGTCTTCATTTATTCAATATTAAGAACTGGTTGCACCGTAGTTATTCGTAACTTATTTAGCCTTCGTGCATAAAGCAGTACGTTGAGAAATAACATAATTTCACGCGTAAATTCGTCTGAATCGGTAGTATAATGACTACACGTCTTGGTTTTTATGCTACGTTATTCGTTACGAAGAGAAAACAAAAAGGCAACTATCTTTTCCAGAAACGTAACGCTAAAAAACAAAAAAAATATATATATAACATGCATATATACAACATAGCTCTATATTGTAAACTAGAAAACACGAAAGCGGTCAATCTGTGAAATATTGAAATCATATGATTAAATAGCCCCAAACAAGGTAAAGAATGCTATCACAAGGTTGTTGCAACTAAGATATACGGCAGCAAGATAATAGGTATTGAATATATATATATATATATATATATATATATATATATATATATATATATATATGAAAAATAGGAATAAATAATAAACTGATTTAATTTAATGTACGTATAGTAATATAGTAATTATTATTACTGTCTGGTGAATTTGTGTTATGAATTTTATGGAGAGATATAAACCGATTGAGGAGAAAGTTGGCATGCCGCATGTATTGTCACAGGTAAACAGGACCGACTGGTAATAATTATCTACACAAAAAATACGATAAAACAAACACGCCTGTTTTTCTCTTGTAGGATACTTGGGTAGTCTAGGAAATGTTAGAGCTTTTCTGAGCCATATCTCTGCGCTCTGTTAATTGCCTGGATATTGCGCAATAACAACAGAAATAGAAACGACCCACCTATTTTTTTGTTTAGACGTGCATTGACGAAGTTGGCAACTTTGCAATTCATCTGTATAATCTTTTTTTAGGGTTTGAAACCTGTTATCGTACGCTGTCTATCCTCAATGCCATACGATGCTAATTTTTTGATTACTTAGTCGCCAGGTTAATGATATAATAAAAAAAAGAAGTTACAGAGTGTAGTTGCATTAATTTTATTAAGTTTAGTAATCTTTAAACTATCTTCTGGTCTATGCACAGCGCAGTGATGATAGGGGTACGGTCAACCATATACTGCCGCTAGCGGGATGGCAAAGTAACCGCCTTTGGTTGACCACTCGAGCTTTTTGTACATTGATTGTTAATGTTATTTATTTTATTTGTTCCCTACGATTAAAGTTCGTAGGCCACCTAATATGATGTATATTTATATATATATTAGAATTCTGGCGAAATCTATCTTACGTTGATTAGAAATTAGCCTCGAAGCAACAAGCATATGAAATGAACTCAAGGAGAAATGGTTAATAAAAACTCTTCACTATATATACCATACTATGTACACTACTGTGCTCGTAGTTATAACAATATCGTCGTGAGTTGTCGACGGCTGAAGATATGATTTCGTATCTGCCACCAAGCCGTCATCATCATCATCACTATAGCGACCGTACGCGCCGGTAAAACCCCGTCCATCGTTATGCATTATCAACGGTAACATGTTAAACGTTACAGCCGCTGTCTGGCATGTGACGAGGATCTGAAGAGAATGAAGGATCCTCTTCAATCAGCCGATTGTGCTTAACTGATGGACTGAGTGGTCCTTGAGAAAGGCGTGTACCGAGTGAGGACAACTGTCTTTTCACTGAGGCATGTCGAAAAGATGAGCCTATTTTGTTTGGAGCTGTAGGCTGGATTGTTGGGATCGTGTCGACTGGACGAGCGCGCTGACGACGATAGAACCGTATGACGATAAAAGTTATTGCGCCAGTTAAAATAAAAGCTGTAACAGCGCCTATCGTGACGTAGTTGATGGGTATCCACAGGCCGGCACCGTCGAAATCAGCTGTATTGATAATAATAGTGATACTGCGCGCGATAGGGTCACGGATGCCAGGCACAAAAGCTCTGATGGTCAGCTGGTACATTGTGTTTGGCCACAGGGTCAAGGTACCGACGTTATTATAGGTGGACAATTGTCCAGTGATGTCGATAGTCTGATCTGCCTGTTTCCATTCGACAACGTATTTAGTTTGTGCTTTGTGTGGCACATGCGCCCAGGAAATAACGGCATCAACACCACCAACGTGTTTGTTGGAATCTCGTAGTGACTGAACGGCCGGTTTCCACTGTTCCATCGAAGATCCTTTACGATAGCCAATGTAGCCTGGGACAATGTTATCAAAGTACCCTTGGTCTTTATACATCTCCTCAATATATTCCCTGTTCGGACTAACGTTCAGTTCAGAACACAGCTTCACTATTTCAGCGGTTCTGCCTTCAGAGTCATAGGAAATGAGTCGGATGTGTGATGACGACTTAATAAGGCCTCGGCGTACTGTAACGTTGTGGTAGAAGGTTTGTTGTAACTGTTCCCAGTCGCCAGAGAGTTCGTCCCGTATCAACAACACGTAAACTAGCTGCCCGACTTGGTAGTCTTCCTTGGGCCTCGTCCACTGCAGACGAAACGCGTCGCTCTCCGGCTGATAGCTGTACTTCAATGGTTGTACAACACCAGTATCGGAATGACCTTCTTGGATGACAAGTTCTGGGTGTGAGTTATGGAAACGACACGATTCCTGGCAGCCGGGGAACTGAAAATTGAAATTCATAGGAAAAGTGTGTATCTGTTAGCCGAAAAGTAATCGTTTTATGTCCAAAGCTAACATAGACATACACTAGATATGCAACTTGCAGAAACCGTCAAAGGCTTAAAATAACGATATGATTACACTGGCAACTTACACAGAGTTTCTTTTCTTCACACATGTGCCCCCACACGCGAAAGTTAGTGTAAAACATATGACAGGTATCCCAACACTGGAAAAGAACCAAACAAACGAAATAGTCAGTTAGAGGATTGAAATTCCGTCACAATAATAAAAAAAATAAAGGATCAGAAGGTAGGGCATTTACCGTACCCCTCTACGACGGAGACGAAAAGTGATTTTAGGGTCACCTGGTATAATACTGAGATGTGAATCTTTTCTATAGTAAAAACTGCTCAGAATAGGTATTTTACAGATGTTATAAGGCAAAATGTTGTTGATGTTCGAACTTACCATCCAACATTCCGAATCATCGAGGCAATTTATATTCTCCTCCGGTTTATAGAACTGTAGTAAAAAAAAAAAGACAATTGAAGTATAAGCCGGTTAGAACCAAGTCAAGATCTTACAGCAAATAATCGTAAGATGGTTAGTTAATAACTTTCTCTATCTATTCATCGCCGATCTATCGAAAAAGCGATCGTTACGACTCCTTCTTCCAAACTACGTACTGCTTACCTTCCAGCAAAATCTGGAATCACTAATGCTTGTATTTAAAAATGCCATGAGTGCCTATTTAAGTTCGAGCACGTTTTTAGCTACAAAAAATTTAACTTCAGTAATTTTTTCAGAACGCCTAAGTGTTAGCCACTTCTAACGAAACGAAAGTGCTTATTATGTATGCGCATGACTCGTGTTCAGGAGCCACAGACACGATACGTTTCAAACACATTCACGCATGAAGCGTTAGCTGAGAACTTTAAACTTGAATTTGCATATATCCTACTGTGAAAGTTAAACGAAGAGAGACTTTGTTGCTTCTCTGCGGCCTTTGCAGCGACACGCTGTAACAGAGAATATCTTTGAGCTATTATGCGGATGCCCTACGTGATTTAGTAAGTACAACCTAAAGGACATAGCTACCTTATTGAGGCACTGAGCGCGACATCTCGCTTTCAAGACATCACTGTTTTGGCCGAAGTTTCCTTGACCTAGGGTTGCCCCTAACAATAGCATCTGCACAATTAGACGAAACATTTCGTTGAACGCTTAACCTATACGTCTTAGCCCGACCTCGTAAGCTATGCGTTGATCACTTGTAGTTGATGAGTAAGTTTTGCGACCATTTATGTGCGAGGCCTTTCAGGCTTCAACGCCAACTGGAGAGGGTAGAGGCATCGCTGGCGGTCGGTCACATATCTATTTCCTAAGTTCCAAATAGCAGTGAGCTCAGCAAGGTGGAAATAGATATTAACATCTGCATTCTATCAAATTGCCTATCAAAAAGTGAGCAACCCTATGCAGTTTGCACTGATCGTCTCTCTCACCGGATTTAAACTATTGATATGATTACTATTATTAGCTAATATTAGATTCTGATTGCCGGAAATAGAGAGATGGCTTCGGCCAATTTCAGCTGCAAGCATTAACTCAATAAGCGCGCGACCAATTAAACTGTCAGATTTTGTACACAATTGAATTTTTGAACTTTTTACAATTAAGAGGGTCAAATTAAGTTGAATAGACTGTTCATATGCTTCGTTGATTCGATCTCCAGTGACTGTGACATTTGTGAGTATTCGACTGTATTTAGCTTAGGATGAATCTGGGTTCCACAACGGCAACATGGCCGAATTTATTCCAGATCACATAGGCCACTAAATTTTAGAACCCGCTGCCGTTGGACATAATTCCCTCAGACAGACGGCTGCCTGGCTCCCAGCCATTACGTAGCGAAGTTTGTCTGTCTGTCTGTCTGTCTGTGCCCGCATTCGAACCTAGACCATGTAGAACCTAAAGGCTTAAACCTAGACCCACATTAGCAGGCAAATACGCTGCCCGTGAAGCTATCTACTTTTACGTTACTGCTAAGCTAAAAAAGGGGACTTTAGGAACCTAGGCAAGTCAAACACGGATGTTTAACGTTGGTCATACGCGTAGAACCCGGTCCGCCAGACTGACAACCTGCTACTGGGCCTATGCGCTATCTTCAAAAATCTTCATAAAAAAAAAAATAAAAAAAGATAAACATGAATTGGTAATAACTGCTAGGCTTATTTTGTCCTTTATATTCGTTTGCCTTCATGCTCGTTTTGTCTATAGATCTATAGTCTGTAGATATATATAAATCTATTGTCTATAGATACATATAAATAGATCTAACATATGATAGTTACAAAAAGTTCGCGCTATAAAGGAGAAAGCATCGTCCGAGCAACTTAAATAGGCTGAACTTCTATAACTCGTGGCTAATAGAGTAAAAGTACATCCTGTTGAAACATGTATTTTATGACCACCTGCAACCGTGTACGAACTTTCGAACCGTCTAAAGAATCTTATCTGCAATATATAGGAGCGGCAGCTGTTGAATGTAGCTGAAGTGTACAGGTTCTCATCCCCCCGAATAAAATATCTACAAGAGAACAGCTCAATTAGTAGTAATGTACAGGTGTCTCTTTGCTTTGATAAGTCCTTCTTACAGTGGTGTACCAACGCGTGTTAGGTAATTCAACTTAGTTACCTTATTTTGAAGGTTATTCATCTGATCGCTGAGCATCAACCGTGAGTTTATTAGCTGTGCCTCAAGGAATATGATCAAGTCATTCTTTAAATTTTTCTTCCGACTTCATAAACAAAGACCCCGTTACGACGGTGAGCGATGTATAAGACTTGTGCAATCTAGAATTGCCGTTCAAGATCTTATTGAATGAATTCGTCTAGGTTTACACTAGACCCGAAACGAAACGAAAATTTGGTAGCCGGGCAAAACAGGGCCAGTCACCTAGTATTTAAGGCAATTTCGAAATTGGGTTTTGAAGCTTGAGGGCTAATACACGTACTGCATTTAAAATATATCATTATTTAATGTATGCACTGCTAGAGCTTAAGACTTTATTTTTCATTTTATTGACGGAAAACTAAATACTCGAACGATGTTCGAATACCTACCGTTCGACATACAGCTGTTAATCAAAGGCTATCGTAATTGACTAACTAGATTTAGTACGGGGTTTAATAATCTTACATTAGAACAAGTTATCGAAAGTTGCATTTGCGCACAGCTAAGACTCTCCTCTCCCTGCAATAAGCAGCAGGCTTACATTTTTTGAAAAATGGCACCGTAAAACAAATGGTAGTATCAAAAAAAAATCCCAAGGGACAAAAAACCGAAGCAAAGCAGATATGAGAACCGAAAGATATTATGTATTCATAGTCGACTGAATCCCAAATACAAAACATTATAGTTTAATAGCTGCTTTCTAAAAATATAGAAAAGATGAAATAGTGTTAAACTCACGTACTGCTATAAAAAAATATAATGCATTTTTCTGTTGTCGTATTTATTTTTCCGCTCAGGACCAAACTCATGTGTGATCAGAATTTTTCGACAGAAGTGGTCATACTTCTGTCAGTATATCGCCACATCGTGTACGTATTCATCTTTGTATTCCTGCAAGCTAGCGTCACAGGGTGACTCTGTTAATTCGTCAACGTAATATCGAAAATTAAGCCCAGATTGCGAAGAACCATATAGCGCTTCATCTATATCGCCCTCGTAATCTGTAGCATTTAATTATGAATTTATTAAACCACTCCATCCACCGCTTACATTGACCATATGGTCAATACCCCCTTAATTACTACCGGTTTACTCTGAAGTTGCCTCCGTGCAGGGCAGATGAGGCCCTGTGTAGATTTCTTGTCTCAAGTTTAACTGAAGATAATAAGCGCAACAAGAAGGAGACCTCCTCTCTCGGGGCTACGCTCCTCCTATTTTTTTTTCTTTAAAAATAGAGCGACTCAAGAGTTAGGGTTAGGTTATGGTCATTTGCTAGGTCTGAAGCAATGCTTTACCGTGCATTCAGCATCCTGCTAACGCCGACGCTTATTCTAGCGCGGAACGCAAATATGGATAAAGCAAATGTAATGACGGCCAGGTGTAGAGCTCACTGCCTCAGCAAGGTACGAACTACTGGATATTTTATTTTCTTGGTGTTGCGTTGTTAAATACAGGTAGTTTCTGTAATGTTTCAGATAATCATTGTGACAGTTTGTCAGCTTCTCAATACCCAATTGTAAAGGATTCTCGTTTCAAGGATCGAAAAGAGCCTTCAAAGCTCTTTGCGGGAGCTCTGAATTTTCCTTTTACTCTAGCATCTTGCCAACAATAGAACCAAGCGACAATAGGAAAGACTAGAGTGAAACTCAAGATACCAAAACCTGGCTCACAAAAAAACAGCGCAATGTCTGCTCTGCAATAGACAATTGCCCTTCACTGGAATTGCCTTACACAACCTTAATTATCAAGGCCTAGGGATGAGGCGAACAAAACGTGATTTTTTCCGTCAAAATTACTTAGCTATTTTTGCTTTCTAATTCAATGATTTCAGTTCAACGTAGACGGCTTAAATGAGAATTGTTTCGGTACTCCGGACTGCTTTATGGTAGGTTGGATAGCTTTTTCCAAAGATAAGACAACTATTCTATTTGGGAGATTGATGTGATAGACACAATGCATTCCCAAGGTAGCGCAACTATGACATGCTATACATTGGTAGCTTGATAATTAATTTCGAGGTAACGTTGTGCTATTTTAGTGCTGGGACACGTGCCGAATGTTCTACAAAAATTTCAAGATGTGGGGACCAATGTGTAGCATCAAACATCTGTGCGTGAGTATACCGTTTGAACCGAATAATCACTACACGATTCAACTTTGAAAAGTCGACCACGGTAGAGGCTAAACTAAATTGGACATGAACTTAACTGTAAACTAACCGGTATATCCTCAGAAGTACAAAGAATATTAATAACCACGCTGAGCAATGCTGTACGCTGTGTTACAGTTCCCGGGTTGTCAGGAATCCTGCAAGTTCTACTATTCTACGCCAGATCCGAATGCTGATGCAAGCGCTGTACCAGACACTAACTTCACTCGGCCTTTGATATACCGGTACCAGCCAGAGCGCGACGCTATTCATTTTGAATGGTCGAGACCAGCTAGCATCAGTGATTCAGATGAGCCCTTTGTCTATGTACTAACACTGCAGGATCAGTTGTCTCGGTATTCGCAAGAAATCGAGCAGACACTTTATCAAAATGCTACAGTACGCCGGAGCCTAATGAAGTCGTCCACAATAATTCTATTGACTGCATACAGCTTTAGTGGCAAGGTCGCCCAGCTAGAGACGAGGTGTTCCGACCTCGAAGTGTGTGTGAATCCCAGTCGCGAAGCTAGTGAAGAAACCTTTTCCGACGCGAAGTATATAACTCACGACGTAGGAAAACATCACCGTCCGGAGGACGCTTCAGTAAACAATAGCAATCACGGTTTCTGGAGCCCTAGCTTAGTATCGTTACAATATTCGATGAAAGATTTAGACGGCGTTGATGCTCTCGTCACGTGGCCGCATGTCCGACAGTTGGACAACGTTAAATACCAAGTCGAATGGAGCCGTGTTGAACACGACGTTGACGTAATGACTAGTCTAGTTACTCAGGATAACGTGGCGACAATAGCGGTTTGGCCTAATAATGTTTACCACGTGCATGTCCGTGTTTTCTCCAACGAGTCACGTAGGACTCTAACAAAAAGCCAGCCACTTACCATCAACACTACCTCAAATAGTCTCTCAAGTAATGATTTAGATTGCTACCGTTTCAAATACAACATGGCCCTGCTATTCGCCGTTATTTTCGGCCTCGCTTCGGCCGCTGTTCTTATCAGCATATGTTTACGAAAATTTCGATTTCGCCTAATTTGATAAAGATTGGACTTGCGTACTCTGTAAATGTTATTATTGAGTTAGCCAATAAAAGTTCGTTGCCGAAATAGGTTTAACTTAACACTATCGAGACGAATCAGGTCGAATCCAAGTTAACTCCTAGGCCTAGAATACGAAAATAGACTGGCAGTTAACACATTCGTCGACATAAGGAGTGTACTTTAAAGATGAGACAAATAAGAACCACCTTAACAACCTGCGAGCTAACAGCTGCTCATTGTTGATATTTTTAAACTAAAAATATAAATTTGTTATACGAAGGTATTATAATATACATCAGATCGCATCACTCCAATCGCACAACGGCAGTTGACAACATAACCTTCGACATGATACTTCGGCTCTTTGGAAAGCGGTCTTTCAGATGTTTTGCTATATTTCGTCTCTCCGGTGAGGGTCGTACGCACCGAGAACGATGGATTTCACCTTTCAGATGTTGATCGTACGTCAATGCATATTATTGTAGGCTGAAAGAGACTGGTCATGTCACAGCTGCGGATATATCGCCGACTATTTGTACACGAACACCTGTTTCTGCTAGTTAAAAATAGGCGCCTCAGTGAACAGAACCGAGGTTTTTGCAATGAATTTATCTGGTCCATGTCATTATATTATGTTCGATCTGGATATTTATAGGAACGTCGTATGAAATTTCGCTATTTTATATTAGTTTCGTTGCTGCTATTATTATTACCACTATATATACATAGATAATCCACCAGTGAAACGAATCGATTATGAAACCGCCAAAATGGAAACGTTAGGCTAGTATCTGCGGTTTATCGTTAGAGTGTAAAGTAATTTAAAAGAATTAAATAATAAAAATTAAAAAAAAACAACCTGAGGGTGTGGTGATTGCCAACGTGGAGATCCATTCAGGAAAAGTACTGTTGCAGAGTTGTTCGTATCGTTTAATTTAAGGAAACTGTTTATCGTACGCTTATCCATTCATCTACATATACACGTACCGATATCATGTAGACCAGAAGGTATCGGTACGGGAGAATTGTGTCTGCTGCGTGACAGGTAGACTATGGAATTCACACGCGTAGCTAGTCTAATGATTCTCATTGAACTCGATGGTGAGGAAATATTCCTCGTCTAACTTCCCCACATTTCCTAAATTTAGCAGTATGCCTATATATACAGAGCTTGCGTGAATGCAGAACACCTTGATATTGTAACAATCCCTATATGCTCTCTTCGTTTAACACGTGTCAGCAGGAAGTTGTGCCCACTTTATCGCATTAATCGAACGATGTAAATAAAACGTTTCGTCCATACATCGTGCAACGTGCCCGATGTAATGTATGATGGCAAAGAGCCACTGAATTGTCCACTGTTGGGATGGATATTCGAATCCTTTTACTGATTGACCGATACGGTTACGCTAATGGCGGCGGTCGACTCATCCCTATCGAATCCATTGATGCCTATTTTGCTGAAGAAAAAAAACAACGATTGGTGATGCTGAAGCAGGAAGTGTTTAGCTTTTCATCTCGTGATTAAAAACGTATAATAAATCTAATAGATCAATGTTCCGTATTGTGGATTGGATGATAGAGGAGTTAATAATTTCTAATATTAGTACGTGTGCTTTTGTTTGCCGACATGAAAATCCTGAATCGAGTTGTCTGAACTAATGTTTAATCATAAATATTACGGATTGATTCCCCTCAAATGTTACATCTACCTGAAGAGAATGGAATAAAACTACGAAACTACAGGATTGACTTGACTTTTTCCATACGCTTCGAATTTTGCAGCTTTCATTCGCAGGCCTACTTTCAGGACTAACAATGGCCCCCACCACTCGATCTAAAGCTTCTCTCAAAACCAGTGAGTTCACTTTCTTGTAACCAGGATTTGTAGACAGCTACGCTATGGTTCACGCGAACTGCGACAGTGGATTCGCAGCTCATAGACTCACCAAATAACAATGTTTGTTATTACTAAAGTAGCATAAATCGCTTGTCTACTCTAAGAAGGAACGTTAGTGACTGAATTATCCAAATAATTTGAAGTTCTACAAGAATCAAGTAAGTCAACTCTTTAGTATTTAATTAATGAGGCATTTAGCGCTAGAAGTCTGGACATCTGTCTACAGTATCTAACGTGACGAAGTATGTGCGTACCGTGTGAAATCTTATGTTTTATTAAACGTATTCAATAACATCACTAATATTATATTATGGAGCATGATAGAGTATTGTGAGGCTGAACGAGTTAATCAAGTGCTAGCTGAATAAAAGTTGTTTAAAACATTGTGACACTTCATAGATATACCGCTTCAAGCGAACCAGCAAAGAAAGTCTCTGGTCTAAAATTTTTTCCCGCTTTAACTGCGACCCATCGCTCTCTACCGTAGCAATGTGCAAATACTATCTACCTATACATAATACTCGGTCTGAAGATGTTCATATTGAGGAGAACAGTCAAATAAGAATCATGTCTAACTTAGATGTACTCAATGATCTTGGAAAACATAAGAATCCTATTCACATATGTATGATCCCACAGCGGCACTTATAGTTGTCTACTCAACTAGAGTATTTCATTTCAGTCGATAATAAACATGATTCAGATCCAATCGTGATAGTTGGGATACAAATAAATTGCATATATTCGGACAACGGGAACTATTTTTCAGTACTGTTCTCTCCAGCCAAGCTGATCCGTAAGAAGCTACGTACCAACGTAAAACTACAGACAAACAGTCGTCTGTTCCTTGCATCTACTACCGATGAGCTTTCGTGCACGCACAACGTGAGCGACACATGCACGACGTCAGAGGAACGTGAACTACGCGACCTCTGTATAGAGGACGCAGCGTCCTATTCCGAACTAGTAGGTGATAACGTATCTTTTTAGAGTTTTTAATTTGGATGTACTTTCTTTTATACGTGCTAGATTCAAGTACCAGTTGCAGAAGAAGTCTCTATTGCATGGAGCGTTTAGATGAATCGAATGTTAAGATAACAACTCAGAAAAGCGTACGTTTATTCCTCGCTTTACTTTTCAAGGCGGAAATTAACGGGCAGGAAATTCATCGTCTTCTATCAAACTGCGAAAGTATTTGGACGGTTCTCTGGCGTGGTCCCTTGGCTCGTGGTGGCGCCCTAACCTCATCTCAACGGAACGCGCATAAAAGTTTTCATGAAAATCTTTTACTTAAACTCAAAGCGACTAACACAGAAATGATGGAAGTACTATGGAGAAAACCTAGGTATACGCCTATCTTCATCACTGCGTTTACCTGTTCGTCTATCTTGTTTGTCTATATTTATATTAAGTGCATTGATAGTAAACCCAACGTAGCGTCGCCAATGCCTTACGAGAGTTTAGAGGAAGGTTTCTATAGCAAAACGAATGCTTAAGCTAAACATAGCTTAGCGATCATATTTTTCGTGGAACTTGAAACACGGACTTGAGGACGTCCTTACAAAAAATATAGTCAGTTGCACCACCTCAATCTGCTATATTTAATAGACCACAACCAGTAGGTTAAGCTTTAAATCTTCTAAAGTCCGCCACGTTGTTCACTGCTAATTCAACAACACATAGCGCGCACAGTCAATGAGCCTGGAACGTAAATATTAGAAACGTCGCAAATTTCCTTTACTAGAAGGTTGAGGGAAGTGGAAGCTATTCATTTCCAAACATCCTACCAATTAGGTAAAACGTCAATAGGTTTAAATCTTTACCCGATATAGCAAGCCTGTGTAGTTGTCCCAAAGGATTGCCGTAGCTGATCGTATCGAACTATTTCGCTTAAATTGTATTGGATTCCTATGCCTTTCCTGAACCTAAACTACTTTATTCTACACATCATACTTTGCAGAATACAGGAGCAACTGTTCGACCATTAATTTTGCTATAGACATAATGTCGATTTGGGAATGCGTTTTAAGAGTTTAACGTGATTTGGAACGTTTAGACAAAATATACCCTATTGGCTTTTTACATGTCTGACAAAAACATACGTTTTCTATTTTATAACAGATTGATAACTTCGACTGCGGTCCTGGCCTGTTCTGCATTCGATTACTCTAGAGCCTACAGAATTTTTTTCTAGTATCCAATCGATTGATACTATTTTTTCACAGAACGGCGGTATTTCGGGTTCTAATAATTCATGCCTTCGAATGATTTGAATTATAGAGCACTCGGTTGCAACCTTTCGAATTTTTACGTGATCGGAACATTTTCTATACGTTTTTCTGGCGTTACTGAAACAAAAATCATATTTTATTGACGAAAAATAGATAACAATGAAGAATATCTGTGCGTTTTACCATTTTGGCAGGATGTCGTGTCGACAGCACCTGGATATAGGTGAAACTCGCCGGCAGATCAACAACATGCACTCGATAACGACGCTTCTGTTCGAAGAACTGCTAAAATACATTGAGAGGTGCCCCAGTCCGGTCAACGTATATGGGACGCGCTGCAATCTGACCACACGGGAACGTCTTACGGAAGCCAACTGCCGTCTCGACCAGGTATACAAAAGCTCTAAGAGGACTGGTTCGTTGCGATAAAACAAAAAACTAAAAAAAAATAGTGTGCACGTTTCGAATGTTATGGGATCTCGCACGCATTTCACGAAGATGAAATAAGCTCTATTTTATTATGCCTTAACAGTGATTCTCATAACCTTCTAAACGTACTTCTAACAGAACAGTAAGCTACTCAGTAACTTCTCCTAATATTGCCACTGAACGGATTGAAAAGTATTACTGAAATAAACACCTAACGTTCTAGATGCTAAAGGTGACCAACTTTTACGAAAGGTCAGAAACAACTTACTGTTAATAACACAAGGCAATCTATTACACTGACTAACGATTAGACATTGCCGTGACATTTGTCATCATGATAATGGAATGTGTTTGCTTTAAACTGTATGGCGTATTACAGGATGTCGAAGTCGACCCGACGCATAATTCAATTTTATGATGTGACCACATTACGATGCTATTCTTCTTGTTTCTCGTAGCGACGGCTAGACAAGCAATACAGTTACGCCAACGCAAATGCCGTCAAACTTTTGCCTCCTAAGCCCTATTTAGTGTGATCCATTGGGGACAATAGATATAACTTATTTCGCTTGGTGTCGTCGCTAAAAATCCGAGCGATGATCGCCAGGGAAATAACAAATCGATTTAGAAATTCCTGGACACAAACAGTTGATGCAGCCCAATTTCGTATGCGTTTACAGGCGAAAGAAAAATTACGAAAGATCTGTGTACGAGATGGGCAACGTTTGGAGACGCAGTTCCATCAGTTCATCGCCAGCTGCGACGCTTTAAATGAATTCCTGTCTGGTATAAGTCCTGGCAACTCGCTTGTGTTGAACATGGAAGAATAATCGCCCTAGACAGATTGTAAGCGTAACATGGAATACTAGCGACATGTTATTGATAAAATCGATCGTGCTTTTTTATTATAGCTATATGATATACTATCCACATGAAAACTGAATCCGAAGTTGCTGCCTGCCAACCAGGACGGCATCTTCAACGATGTGTTTTAATTCCCATTATCATAATTGCTGATTTCAGAGAATAATCTGTGCTACAAATTGACAACAAGATAATCTTGTATATTAAAAATACCAAATAATCTCAAATCTTCTCTATTTTAAATGTGATACTCACCGGCATGACAGATCGCGCAGATCATTAGTCGAATTAAAAACATAAAATACTTGTGGACGATTACCTTTCGTTTATTTAATTACTAAGAAAATGGTGCATGACAGGTGATACATCTATGATCTTACGCGACGCCGTTCCAACAAAAGTAGTAAGGCGCACAAGGTTCCGTTCCGGTGAAGGCTGAACCACAAATAAAGCGTGCATAAAGAAATTCATTGAGGACTGGATTAGAACACGAATAGCTTTAAAAAAAAGGTGCGAACGAGATTAGAACGTTAGCAGCAAAGGTGTTTTGTACTGGCCCACAAATAAAGATCGCCATTATTTAGAATAGCGTGTGTGAAGCATCCTAAAAGGAAGTATGACATGGCTTTATTTACTATAATTAACCAAAGTTATTTTTATTAAAGCTTATTTTTGCGACTAACATGAACACTCCTTTTTGTTAAGTCAGCTTCGACTCCTCTCATCGTTTATCCATCTAACATTCATTTAATTTTGACCGTGATATATATATATATATATATATGTATATACTTTTAAAATTTGTAGATTATATATAAGTTCGTCATGATACAAAGCAATGTCGATGCGATTATGTCTATTTGGGTATTTTTTATTTTCGGAAAATTCAGCTGTTTTTCTTTGTCGACATCTATTGTTATATAGAATTTATTCTATATATATATTTACATGGATACGGCTTACTATAGACAGAAGACATCATACATTTCCATAGAATATTAAAAAACAAATTTATAAGGCGATTCGACGAAATAATGCACTGTGCATAAGAGGTTAATTTGCACAAATGAATAATATGAGGGATGTATACACTAATGTGGTGTGAAATGTTTGTTTCAAGCACTAAAAATGCAAGAAACATGTGTGGAGAAACACTATATAGTGTTTCAGCATGAGGGACATACGTACAACGCGCGAATCATGAGTATCGCCGCGTACGGTGTCCTCAGTTCTCACACACATGTAATTGTTTGCTATCTAAACTATTATAGATACGCTCCGTAATTAGTCACAAGTCAATAATGAGAGTTTCAAAACCCTACCAGATGAGTAAAGGCCGTTGAAGAACGTTTGGAGCCTTGCGTAGTGCTATTTAGTAATAATAATAATGAGAGAAATACACCCTTAAGGATTGTGAGATAAAGAAGGCATTGTTCTGAAACAAAAAAAACCTATGTCATTTTTTTAGAAGCTGTTAAATTACTATACAAATACGCTTTCGTTGGCAACCGAAGAAGACATAAAAATCGAAACACAATATAAAACGTATCCGCTGATAATGAATTGTCGTATTATATTTTACGTTTTATCATTAATTATAACGTTATACTGCTGTAAGCCTCAATTGAAAAAACTTTATCTGATACGGTACAGAAAGGATAATGATCGCTTGTACGCATCGTGCAATCCAGTTTATTTTCTCTTATTATCAGTTGGCACTGCTATATTACCTATCCTACTGGTCGCTAAAGGTCTCGGATAACGGACCCGAATACATTTCTTGGGACTGGTCGATTTGATTTGTTATGCCCTGGGAAAACTTGGCTCCAAGCCGACACATGCTCACCTTTCCGCACGCGCGATTCCTTCTTACATTAACTGCGCTATGGGATTCTACTCGATACAACAAGAGCTAAATTAAGAGAACGGAACTGCTTTAGCTCTGTAGTAATACACCATGCGACGCAATTGGAACACGGACTTGTGGTAAGTTACCATTGTGCTGCACAGGTATTGCTGTGTTCAGTGTTATCACTTACCTCGCGTATATCAGAAAGTTGTTGGATTAATTAATGGAGCATATTAGTGCTGCTGGTAGCAATGCGCATTTCTGTAGAAAAACGCGGTCTGTATATAGGCATCTAGTAAATCCCAAAAGTCCACAAGCTGTGATGTAGTAAGGAATAGCTTATTTTAAGACTAACAAATTCGCAGTTGTCGCCGTGATTGAGCTTCACTGAAGTGCAATAGTAATTTAAATAAAAGAGTTCGATCGAGTGTCAGTACGGTCCACTATTCATATAACTACATTATATTAATATTAATCTTTGAATAATAACACAATCTACTGCGGCTTCTCGTAAATGAGACGTCTTTTGCTGAGAACATAACAGATCACTGTGAATTCCGAACGACTGGACCCAAATCTAACACATCCTCAATAAATTCTTCATTCCTTGTTCAGATATTTTAAGAATGTAGTAGCGAATTAGCTCTTTAACAGAGACTGAAGTGACGATTGAATATTTTTGTTTTGCTTTCCAGAAAAGCTCGTATATCAAGCATATGTACTAAACAATACTCGTCTTTTTACACGTTTACTGTTTACAACACGTTACGTTTGCCTTATGCAAGCCTATGAGAACGGATACGCAAAGGCAGCTCAGTTGATAATCGGACGGCAACTAGACAACGCCCGTAAAACCTTGATAAGGTATCAATTCGTCTGTGCCAATCATTGTACAGCAGAAGAACAAATGGAAACGCAAAGCTAATGTCAATATTGTGTAGTTGCGATCGTTGGGAACTGCACTTGTACCTTTTTTTTGTTTCATGATTTTATAGTGTTTTATATAATATAGCTCTACCGAAATCCGTTCGACATATCGCCTACATCGACGAAAATTTTCGTCTGATTGGAGGAAGATGATGGATACGGTATAATAATACTTCGAGTCGGGCTAAGCGCAATCTAACATACTGAAGCAGAAACTGCGACAGTTACATCAGCTTTTTTTTCAGAGATCGATTCCAGATTTCATATATATTTGGATCGGTTTTACATGGTTTTATGAAGAGCAAGAAACTCTTTATTCAGCAAATGAGATCACGTAAAAGTACACTTTACTAAGACATAATTATCGTAATTGACATGTGACACGTAATGTCACATAAATTTCACCGTATGCTATATATTTTTATCGACTCAAATATATTCTCGAAACCGCGTAATGATGAAATATTGATCTGACGGTATATTCATATCGCATCCTCTTACTATTATTATTATACGTTACCATCAAAGCTATATTGTTTTGATTTTTAGATTAATACGTCTGCACTTTAAATCCTTTCTCAAAAGAAACTTGTCTTGGGAAAATTTATTCGATGACAATATGAAATATTAAGCTTAGCGAATGGAGGAAACTTACTTGAAACTGCACTCCTCCTTTAAAAGTTGCTGCATTTGTTAGTGCCGAGAAGCATCTATCATTGACAAACCTATTTGTAAAGACTATCACAAATTCGTATTGCACCGTAGAATGAAATGCTGCTAATCGGCACACGACGTACTCTTGTGGATAACAGTTAGCTTTGATGATACTATGATGATTTATGCTTAACAAATTGTATTTACAGTAGCTACCGTAAATTGTCGTTCCATTTAGCAGCAACTAGATGAGTTAAATGTTGCATTTGAAAGCAGCAAAGGGTTTGTACGTCGGTATAACTGTCGTCTCTCAAAATATCTGAGGGACCATCGTAACGCCATGTGATAGCTTAGTCGGTAACCTTTTTTTGGGACACATTGTGCTCTTTGTTCGAATCTGGCCGTAGACACTCTTTATTTCGTCGTGGAATGCCTCACAGCGACACCAGACGAAAAACTTGAAGCATAGAGAGACCACTGCAACGTGAAAAGCAAAATTATGTTGTTAATGTGCAGTTAAGACATCATCCATCTAGGAACACGACATTGTATACAAGCGGAGGCTGTCCAAACAAAGCGTCCAAATGATAATGACATAAACTACCTGCTAGAAGATAGAGCAACTTTAAAGGATCCAGGAGATGTCATATTGACCATTTATCTGCACAGAACGCTTTGAGAAGGTCTCTGACAAATTTTCTTCATTCCATTTTTGACGCCATCGTCTACGCCCTCAGTGAATTCAGCGATTTCGATTAGCGGCTTGATTGAACCTTTGTCCTGCATTCGTTCGAGTACTCTCGTTGTGAAGAGTTCTCTTCACCGTATCCAGACACTTCGTAGCTTTGTGCCAAGTCAGCTAGGGTGTCTTCTGTTAAAGCTAGCGATCTTCGTATTCTCATCGTTCACATTATTTCTTCGCTATGGAGAGGAGAACTGCGTGTTTAAGCACAAAAATTTCGCCATGAGCTCAGCCAGGCTAATCCAGTTAATTTGGATTAGTAATCCAGTGGAAATTTGAATAGGAGGACCTCCCTCTATTGGCACAACAGGGCATATTCCGTACGTCAGTCTATCCTTTCAGATCCTTTAAGTTCGTGTCAGAGTCGACTAACAAAAATGCTTGTAATCAAATTTCAAACAGTTCCCGAAATCTACATCTAAAATGTGTCCTGGAAGTTAGCTTCCGTGTGGAGGAGCCACATTTGATTTGAACCAGATTGGTCATTTACACGAAGGCTGCTTTTACTCGGACCTTCGGAAGATTCTGAACAGCAAGATACAGGAACGCTGACGTGGTTTGTTCAACTTTGCTATACACTCAAGCTAATGACGCACCTATAATATATATTAAGCTAGGCGCATGTTTGCCTAGCTAAATGTTTTTGACAATAATTAATATTTAGTTGTACATCTGTGATCAGTAGAATAACCAGCGATGCCTCGTTCTTATATGCAACTCGAACCACTATAACTATTTCAAATATATTTGTTTTCATTGCTTGTCTTTACTGAGTGATCTGACCCAAGGCCGCAAAATTCTCTGCAAGATCAATTAGAATAATATCTAACCTGTCAACCTATATCAACTTAATAATGTCTAGAATAATGCCATAGGTATGTTTAAAAAAAGTTTCATTTAGCATTATTTTTTATTCTCACGAATGTGTAATGATTCGAGCTTGCTAGATATATATATGTATATATATCTAGCAAGTAGATACGTAGTATTATTCTTCGGCACTATAATACAAAATACCACGATGTTAAAGAGGATTTTTGTTAAAGCTACAAGCAAACTTAACATAGGTAAGGAAATCTTACGGACGAAATTCATTTTGCAAATCCACTCGCTTCGCGCTGCACATCGAGGAACCCTATGCGTAAATTTATTATACCTGGGTTAAATAGGATGTGTTGAGAGAAGCAAAATCCTGCTAGATGCAAAAAATCTATATCAGTGAAAGCGTGGGCACAGCCGGCAGCACAATAGAGCAAGCTCAATGAACATCACCGTGCGTGATGCGCCCGTCGAAAAATTAACGCGGTTGATAGGAAGGCAATAACTGTTTTGCTCTCTATGCATGCGTACAACTGGTTATTTGTCATATGAATTTTTCATCCCATTTTCGTTTACCTTTACCTCCCAGAAATCTTCAGAGGTATATAAGAGTGGGTCTTTGTTGCATTGGTATGTTCATAGAATATATCATAATCGCAAGTAGGCATCGTTACTCTTACAGAAATAAAATGCTTCACCAAATGCTGACCTTACGTTGTTCACTCACATTTTAGCCATGAATGCGTTCCACGTACGTGAAGACTTAAGTCTTTTCAATTTATCTAATATTAGTATAAGGCCGTGTAACGAAAAGCCGCTACACTTTCTTTAATATAGAACACCTAATAAATAAACGTTTTTAAAAAAATTTTCCTCTAATCACTACTGTGTAAGTTACCTACTGTTTAGATAATTTACCAAATGCCCAGAGTAGCATAGTAACAGCGTACGGGCCATAGTATACTCTTTTTCATCGTTGCACGCGTTGGACAGCGAAAACCCAAGAGGCAATTTCCAACTGTCTGATATTTTGCTGTTAATAATTTATCATAACTTTAAAGACAAAAGTTGCAGGCGCAACCACTCGAACCAAATGCTCTGCTGAGGTGTATGCGTATTTAAGGGAAAAAAAATAACTAAATAAATGCGCCTGATTCTATAATTAAAGCACATGCACTTTATTTACGTTTGACGTGACATTATTATATCAACACTAAATCAATTATATCACAAATCGCTTGGCATAAACTTAAATTGCACTCAGTCATATGTTGCAATTGTCCTCACTTCAACACACCATGAGTCAATTTAATTGTACTTCAGTGCAAACTAAACTACATCGTCACGACCTTCCATCTTTAGTTCGAGGCACGGGGTGTGGTAGAACTGATTTACTGCGTTTACGGTCCGCCATCGCTCTGATGTGCGTACTTTCTCTTGATTATATGAATGCGCTGCTGGTTTAAGATCACGGTAATGTAGTAATTCTGTAAGTATACTAAAATACAGAAATATATTTAGATAGTAGTATCATAATGTATGTAATTATATTAGAGTATTAGTTTCGCTTGAGCCTTCGCATGTTTGTTGGCATTGTTTTTTAGGGGGAACTACGATTTTCTATGGACTAGTATATTTAGTTGTTATATATACAAGACAGCGTACCACACATGCGTTTGATTCCATCTCCGGATCCAGAGCATTCTTTCGGTAGTATATCGTCTCTGCTTGCACAATGAATCATGCGAAAGACCGTCTGTGCGACTTCCTCGTTATTCTCGAGATCACCGGACGACTAAAACGAGATTACAAACATATACAGTTTATGTCAGATAATAGGAACCAGCGAGTTTTCTAGCACAGTGCTCTTTGTTCGTAAGTTCAGACATTCCCGTAAGTTAATATTGAAGTAATATACGAGAAATAGTGCCGCGTTCTTCTGAGGCAATTTTTCTGTAATGTGTCATGTCAATTTGAGCGCACATTCTAACCTTGAAAAAGGAAATCTAATTCTACTGAGATATATTATACCTAGTCAAATACAGAATCACCTTGCATTGATGAAGTTTATAAACCTGAAAACTAGGTCCATGAAATGGACGGTTGTGTGACGTGGCAGCAACAAAACATTATGACACCGACAGGCAGCTTAAACGCCTCTTTGATCCATTTTTGTTATAATGAGTATATCTGAGAGAGCTCCAAAATAGCGTATTTGCTTTTGTTGTTGGTTTAGCTCTTATGGGCAGCAATGTGATATTTCACGCTGACAATTATAGTGAACACTGACCTATTAAATTCCTATATAAATTACCATTTATTAAACCTAAACAACCTGATGTTATGTATAGCAAGAATGTTATCGGATAGCAAAATCGTTGTTATAATTCTATTATACTGACAATCACGTTTGCGATGTATGTTTTGACCGCAATAGCATTCAACAATCTTAAATACTAACATCCAGTTTTATTAAGCTTTAATATCTGTCCCAACATATCATTAAATTTTACTAGAATAACTAGATTTGCAATGCACAACTGGACAACTATAATTGTATTGTTTGGTTTATACGTTCACTGGCTTGCGTTTTTTTGCCAGTCGCTCAAACCCCGGATCTCGGTAACTTGGATTACCTGCAAAGGCGACTAACCTGGACAATAGCTGCGTCTCCTGTCATAACTATTTGTCCAAGGGTATCAGGAGCTTTTACCAGATTCGAGTACATTATTTCTTCACGAAACGTTCGCTTCGGTCTCCGAGCTGTCGAGGACGAGTCTGCTTTGTTTTCTGCGGTATCCGTGTTTGATGCTGAGAGAAGCTCGAATTAACTTCCAACTAAAATAGGGGTATCGGCAACAACAATTCACACATTTATTCACAGTTCCGTTGATATTATGCGCACCGTTATGAACCACTACTCCTCTGTAATGACTAGATGCGCGCTCAAGAAGCGATCTTTGCTCAGATCAGCTGATCCATAGAACGTTTCTTAAAAGCCTCGAATACGCAATCACTCGTTGTAGTTTTAATGCATAGTATACGAGAAATTTAGCCGCCTGATCGTACTTACTTTTGATGCAAGTTTACTCGTCAAATGTAGGAAGAACGGTTTTGAACTACGGTTGTCCACACGCTGTCTGCCAAGAACCCATTGTTATGACAATTACGTCATCTAGTCACTACCAGATGGGTTTTTTCTGCGAGCGGTGTTCGTTATAACTCAAACACTGTCGTCGCGAAGTAAGTGTTCTATATTCTACTCCTATGATTATGGGGCGATCGCTGGCGGCTGCTTGCTTACCTTATTCGTACAATTTCTGACAATTCCGGATGTTGCGCTGCGTCGAGACACGAAATTGCTTCGCCAAAGTGAAATCCAATTGGATTGCCCAAAGGGGGCCTCCTCTGAAAACTCTGGCAAAGCCTTGTGTGAAGTGCAACCAAATTTTACCTCATGCCAATCACCATGCTTGTACCATTGTGACTCCGCTTGAGTACGGAGGAGCCAGATTACCGACCGGTTAGGTTCCCTTTTCCTAAGTTTCTTGCTAGTGTGCAAGTCGATAAGTTAATGACGGTATTTCATGATGAGCTCGGACAGGGCGTTGCAAAGTTTCTGCAGAAGGAAATACTCACCGCTATTTAGTTTTCAGGTTAGTATAATAAGTCTTTAATTATGTTAAATGCCTTGTTTTAGGTTGGTTAATCGCAATGAAACAATTAAGCGCAACGCAAACGCTTGCGGCTTATGTGAAACAAACGACATCATTTCTTCAAGATGCCTTTATATTTTTGTGCCTGGGTCACGTCTTTCGAGTTCCACGTCTTAGCGTCTAGCTACCTTATCCTTATGAGTGTAGAAACAACGCTAGCAAGCGAGGCTGCTTAAAACAAATTGGACCCGCAGATGATGATAACACACACAGTCATTTGTTCTGTGCGCGCCGTATCGCATTTCAAAAGCGCCTGTAAAGGATCTAAAGGATACACAGGTATCACTTTTTTACACCTCTACTTGAAAAATATATTTTTGCATGTTAAAATGCGAATCCATTTTCGTTACGGACTAGTTAACAATCTAGGGAATTTGTCAGAAGAGTCGAAATCAAGAGAAGTTAAACATTTTAGGCGTTTGTTTCGACTAAGAGTTACACTAACATCTGTCTTTGTTGCCCGACATGGTAAGGTGAATTGCGATAGACCATTCGTGTTCATCCAATATTTGAGATCAATAAAAGGTCAGATTATTCATGAATATAGGTCTAATGTATTTGGCTTACTGTACTAACTTATTCTACAAATGTTCTGTCGTATGTGTCGCATAATACCGGTCTGAAATCATCACCTTCTATTTTCTGCCTGTATATTGTTTGACTCTTTAAGAAACTACATAAGTTGCTTTTAATTGAATTAAAAATGACCTCCCACCGTCTCGATATTGAGACTGTTTTCGTGTTCCAAACAATATCTAGATTTATTCTGTTTGATTAATAATATATTTCGCAGATACGAAGTGACTTTAATTGTTGCTTCAACCGAATGAAACTTTTTATTAATGAGGTTCGAATATTTTTTACCAAGTCAATTCGCCTATGGTGAATATTTTCGCTATACTGGGAGGTTTCTCTTGGTTCCTCTACCATGGATGATTATGAGATGGCAACATGTGCAGTCAGAGAGCTCTTGGGGGTTACAGCGGCAATACCGTAGTAACCTTCTTGAAATCCATTTAGATGGGACCGCTCAAAAAGCAGTACTAGATGTGCGATATCTATTTGAACCAAGTAATGCATAATGTACTAAAAATATATGTGTGCGGGCTGTTGTAAAATACATCGCGCTAAGATCATATTTCTTTCTTATGAGCTATACGCACAGGTGAAATTAAAGGGCATCCTTTTAAAGTTAAAGGCCAAAACATTTAACATGCACCTTCAAATCTTGCTTTATTTTTTAGCATTCTTAGCTATGGTTTTTATCCAAACAAACTACTATACAAGCAGCGATTAACTTTAATAAGACCTTTTCGTCCTTATTTCCTTATCGCTTGTTGATTCTTCGTTCCTCTCGTGACCAGTTTCTGTCAATCAATTTTGCCAACGCTAAGATTTGAACCAGTGTAACAACATGCTCGTTTGTTATGTTTATTATGGCGCACTCAGAGATTCGCATTAGCCATCTAGACCATACTGCTCTCAATTTAGCTTTTTGGCGCCAGCACCAGTAGGACTCGTGATGCCGTTACAGAGAGTTGTGGTAAACGAAAAAACTCCATCCGTGGGTAATCCTTAGGTAATATTTTATAAGTGTTTTGTGGTAAGCAGCACTAAAAACGAGAACAAACGGCTAATTTTTTTGCATCCGTCGCGTGTAAACAATAATATTTTTTTACTGACGACTGAATTTAATTCTAATGCGAAAAGTGAAGCTTTTTCGGCTAGGGCCGGTTTTTCATTTTCGTAAATATAGAACAACTGAGTTCACTTATAGGCGTTTAATGAAAGTCAGTATCTCCTTTTCTTGTCATCTTTATTTATTGCCCTCTGCCGTGAGACGATTAAACACAGCCGCGAGCTCTGCAAATCATAGACGATGTTATAATATAGGAAACAAAAAAAAAGAAAGCATATATATATATATATATATGTTTTCTTCTTTATATATATATATATATATATATATATATATATAGCGTGAAATAAATGCGATTCGAAGGTAATGTCACTTTAACCGTTTTTCTAACTCGTGAGTGATGCTATTTGAGTGACGATTATGCCGTCGCATACTGACGCACGTATGGCTTTAACGATCAGGTTCAATTTCATACCAAAAATGGCAGTAGTTATTAAGGCTAAGCTATCCACGTTGTGTATTATTACATTACGCCAAACTAGGTTTTACTTTATTATTACAGCCTTGGCAAGCTAGGTCAAGTTCGCTATATTTGTGCGACCGTTCGTTATGCAAGATATATCGTGAAAACAATTCATGCTCAATATACTAAACAATATACCAATATAATTTGTGATCATTCGTTTACAGAGACGACTCCGCCATGTACGCGGGGTCAATTTTCGAAATCTGGTTCTGCCTCCAGAATGTCCATCGTTACGTCTTGAACTTCGGGACCTCAAAGGAGTAGTTATCGCTGAAGGAGAACCCATCATACCGCAAATTAATCCTAGTTGGAGCAAAATTGATATAACATCCGCACATACTAGTAAAGGTTAGATACTTACTTAAATAAAATTACCGTCTATTTGACTTCGTCATAGATTACCTTCGCTAGCGAATTGTACTTGAAATGGTTTTGTAAGACGCATATATCCTAACACCTCTAAGAATCTAAAATTATACCCTTTTTTTAATTTTTCATGAATCATACAACTTGCTCATGTTTTAAGATTCTGGGCCCTAAAATGTCCAGTAAACGCTTTGGGTGATATAAAATTGCGTCGTACAGTATGTACCACAGTTTTGTTTTATTTGTGCTTTTTTCCTGCGCACGCAGACATCAAACGATCGGTCGATTATTAACGCTTATTTACTTTGTACTTGACGGCGTGCCGTTGTGTCACAGGTGTGCTTGTAGTTCTTTTGGCAGGCGATACGCCGTTGCTGGAATGGACCGTTCATCTCTCGGGACTGGTATTTGTCTCGCGGCATCTTCCTGATGATTCAGTTAGCTTTAATCCGGATTCACTGTTGTTGATTCTAGCGGAAGGTGTCTATTGTGACAGCTCGTGTTTCCAATCCTCTGATTCTAATAACGTGTCTTCGCACCAAACGCAGCATTCGTCAAGTCAAATACGATTACGGCAGGCTAGCCCGACACTGTCGGCATGTTCAGCACAGACTGCCCCAAAGACGAATGGAGTTATATCTGAAAATAATGATAAGCATTTCACCGAAGCCAGCAAGGCTGAAATCAATGACGGCAACCAACAGGCCCTCTTAAGGAAGATTCAGCTTTGCGATGCAATTGGATGTCAGAGTCAGGTACGTTAAGAACTCCAAATCTATCTAGCTTTTTCTGACGTTCTATAGTGTGATGCCGGGAGCAAGTGAACGCTGTTTAGCGTGAATGCCGTGACATGTCCTTCCAAAGATACTCCTACAAGTGGCAGTTACCATAAGGAGATATTCGGCTATGGGAAGACCCAGCCATAGCAGAAGCACATTAAAGAAATATAATAGATTGTACTAATGGGGATCTATCATTATGGATTTGTTTTCATGATCTGTAGCGTCCTAAAGTGTACGTAAAGGTGGCAGCTTTATGTGATGTTCGGGAAAAGATCTTGGTTGACCCACGACGTCTTCGTAAATCCTACGGCGTCAACGCGCTTAATCGGTACTATTAGAAAAAGCTTTGCTAGCAAAAATGCGAATTTAATACAACAGTGCATACTTGAACTAGAAGTCAAATTAATTGTCAAGATATGGGCAATATTACTGCTGCAAGCAATCGGGGCAAAATAACCCTAAATAAAGACGAACCCTTTACGCGTCGTATGCGCGTTTCAGATTATCGACTATGGAACGTGCCATACGACATACGACGGCTAACGGAAGGATGCTTCAGGCTAGTCTCGAAAGTTCGATTGCAAATCGAATTCAATCAGCTACATATAATGCACGTTGCGAACTCGAGACGTTGCGGTTGAGGTGTCGTGCCCTTGAATACCATATTAGGGAGCGAGAAATACTACTAGACAACGAATCACAACAGCTTGCGCGCGAACAAGATATGGCTGTTGGAGTCAGTAAGTTCCTAGTTGCCATCTCGCAACAGTTTTTACATAACAGCGAAGTCGAACTAAGCCATTCAGTATAACCTGTGTAGCAAACCTGTATAGCACCTGAATTTTGAAATGATCCTCGCTGTATGAGATTTTCCATTAACCTTGCCATACATAACTGTCGTGTTGTGTCATACTTGACATTTCAGGAGTGGAACTGGATGAGTATCGACTACGAATAGTAAAAGAGCGTGAAAATCTCCGCCAGGTCCGAGAGCGCCTCCAAGCGAGCAAGATGGAACTGGAAAATGTTGGCTTGTTCAAAAGACAGATGGCGCTCATTTGTGAACTCGACGAGTATATTTATCCTATTGTACAGGTTTGCATAGTATTTTTTGCTGCTTAATTATTTTCTATTGTGACATTAAGACTAGGAAGACCTATACCAAACGACAGTAATTTTATTTACATAACATGCATAGAACTCTATTGTAGTTAATAGAAGCGGATAACATATACAATATCAAGATTTTTTGAGTAAATAGTAAAAAAGCCAAAGAAAACGAATCTTGTTAAGCCACACATAACATTGAAATAAGGTGAAAAATGAGTAGAAAATCGAATTTTTTTACTCGCGTTTGAAAATGTGTAGCGGAACTACTTGATCTCTACAAGTACAGACTGCCTGAATAATTAAATGATTTTATGTAGGTTTTTTTCCCTTTCCAGGTTCCTACTGGAACCGGTTACACAATATGCTCCATACTTGTGCAATCAATGGAGGAACTAAAGAATCCTAGAAAGCGTAAGTAATTTTTGCAAAGTAAAGTTACTGAGTCTAACATGAACATTGCCGTATTCTCACTGTCTGAATCGAAGGCTTATTGCATTTTGCAACACCTAAAATGTTGGAAATACCTAACACTATGTATATTGTAGTTTTATGCATTATTTACAAAGAAAAAAGACGATGTCAATAAAAACGCATAGAATATATTACCATTGTGATTACTTTTGTGTTGTAATCGCTAGGGTTGGACGATCACATAATCTCAACGGGAATAGCATATGTATTCCATTTAGTTTGCATGCTGAGCATCTTCACCGGTGTACCACTTATCTACCCGTTAAAGTATGACCGAAATGCTCCCGTGGTTGTAGACGTTACATTTGATTCGTTTCACCAAAAAGAGTGAGTCTGGTGTTCTTTTCTTAAGCTGTGGTCACTTGCATAGGTAACGCAGGCCTGTAGATATCATACTTGGACATAATTATTCTGATTAACGAACATAGCGAGAATAATCAATGATTTGCGTGAATCACGAGTAAATATTTATTTCTGAAAATATTTGCATTGAAAACATCATTGCTAATTCGTTCCCTCAAAAGTGGTGACTAAAGCTCAAAACTATGTTAGTATTTTTGGTATTTCCTTAGTTTTTTTATGAACACTGCTTAGACTAACAAGCGACAGAAAAGTATAAAAATTCGACTGGAATTCTCTATTTTGCTCAAACCTATCATGATATTAACATGTATTTATCTATAAAATAGTTGTTTATTTTTGGGTACGTCATAATTTAGGTGTACGTTATAAGATAGTTGGTGAAAACCTTTTTGTGTCAACTAGGTTTCCTCTCTATGTGAAAGGAAAGGATCGACTGTACTTCGAGCATGCTGTATCCCTACTGGCACGCAATGTCTCTCACTTGCGAGTTCACTTCGGGCTGCCATCGATGCGGGGCAGGATGATGGCAGGTCTTTACAACCTTTTGAATTACTTCAAAGATAAAAGGTTTGCTTATTATGATAAAGCCAGATTACTGCTAGTAGTATAATATATTTATGGGGCATTTCATCTTCAATCTCTCATCGAAAGAAAGCACTCTTGATTACGCATATGCCTACCTAATGAGTAACCTAGTGCTAAATCGAGACGTTTGTATCAACTGGCTTGCTATTACTAACCTAAAATGGTTCTGCACGGTTGAACAGAATGCCTGGGGTTTCATCAGTTAACGAGTTATCGGGAATCGGCTCAATTATGCAGTCAGACTTCACTGTGTCAGATTCGAATATGTCATCCAGATGTCCCACGCCGGATCGATGCTTATCGCCGCATAACACCCCCCCGCAGAACACTTTACGACTCCGAAACCGAGTGCACTCATCCGTACCTAACCTAGCGTCGGCTTCGCTCCTTGCAGACACTCTCGATGATATTTACAATGGAGCTGCAAGCGACAATGTGAGCTAGCAGCCAAAAGATGAAAGAATTCTATCATTTAGATACTGTCGAACTACTTATACTACAGACGTATTTTTTCGATATTGCGATAGCATAACAATTCCTGCTTACAGAACACCGTGTAGTGGCTTTGAATCATTCCAAGGTGGCGCACACGCATGTACAGCAAAAGACACGCGTCTAACAAATAGGTTAAAGAAAATGAATACACAATTATATTGACGAAGAGAGACATTTTAAACACTTAAAACAGAGGTACATAAGGAAGATTGAAGAGGACAAAAAGCTAAGTACTATAGCAATTTGCAAAGAGGCAGATCAAAGTGATATATTATAGAAGATAGATTCTATTACATATTGTGCTAACTTTTGCTCAGCTAGTATCGACAATTAGCTGTATAAACCTGATGGAAATAGAAAGTGTTTCACGGGCGAGTGGGCTCACAGATGGGAAAATATATTCGCTGGGTAAAGCGGTAAAAAGAAAAAACGTATACTAATATATATTTCGGGACACCACATAAAACGAACAAGACAAATAAGGCATAAAGTGATATATGTGGTACAGATTGACATGAAAAACAAGGAAAATAAAATAGCTAAATTAATTAAGACTTCATTTTAATAATAATTATTAATATTATTGAAATCAGTGAAGCTGTGCTGTTGCACTAATTTTTTTACGTACAAATGAGTTGTTTATTATATGCTATCCAGGGTAGAGTTAATATGTCTCATGAAACTAATTTAAATAAAGACTTAATGATATATTCAATTATGTTGATGAGGAGCTGCTATAATATTTTCATTACAGTGTAAAACGTAGTTTTAGCAGAAGTCGTTCTTGAGTATTGTATTTTTAATAAGCGGTAATTACCTTCGAAGCGCAATATATTTTCACAAATTGCAGAAGTTACTCAGAAACAAATATAGTAACATGCACACTGTCTATTTCGCATCAATAGAAGTGGGAGCTCCAAAGTGATAGTGAGATTTGCTTCTCGTTATCGAAACGCTTAAGCTCATTGTAGGACGGCTGCATGCATCGAGTTTACCAAGTATAAACGTTTAGCTAACCCCTTTCCAGGGATATTATTAATAATTCGTCACGTGGTACGTATTAACTTATTTAATTTTTCAACGCCTGTCGCTTAATTTTCTACAAACAAATTTTGAGAAAATCGCATATGGCACGGCACATGATTTTGCTCTTTACTCTCCGCTACATAGCTCATCGTAGTTTTCAGTTTAATATTCTCATCCAGCACGACACATGAGGAGACGGGTATACTTCTCAAGCTCTGCAAACCCGATAAATAAGTGGTGGCGCAAATTGTATTGTGTAGGATGGAACTTCTGGGCCATGTTACATGTCTAATAGGGATTTTGTTGCTCTGTAACGCCATCTATGCCTGCCTGAAAGAAGGGTGCGACCTCGTCAATTGCGCCAGAAAAATAATGGGCTCCCCGGCTGGGCTGTCACCCTTAGTTTACGGTGTTACATGTGTGAGCCTATGGCAGTTATTAATAAATCTTCAGCTGCTAAGTGTCCATGTGTCTTTTGTGAGAGTGGCGCCCATGGCAAGCTGGTAGTTTGGTGAGCAGGCTGTAGGCCCGCTTTTAAAATACATCGATTACAATTTCATATTATGTTTGTCGATGATTAGCTTGCCAATGAATTGCAATGATCCGGTAGCCGTATGCACCGAGTAGGACCAATTCGTCGCATCATTCACAACGGACTGGTGTGACTCACTCCTTACACATTCACCTGGTCAGTTGTTACCAACCACCACTGCTATCGTTACGACATAGCAGTCTCCCTACTCATTTTCTTCCAGTGTTACAGTCTAATAGGGCCGCCCTAGCGACTGCCTAGTGCGTGAGCACCGTGTCGGTCAGATCTCTCTGCCCCCCCCCCCATTTGTTTGGAGCGAACAAGCTAATTCCAGTTCTTCTTAACACAATGTAGTGAGCCTTCTTAGGTTTGCTCCTTTTCTGGAGACTTTCCACCATACAAGCCACAAAATTCCCTATTTTTACAATATATATTTAATCCACTCGACTCCTGGAGATAGCGTGAAAGGGTGCAGAAGTTGGGTTCCATGTTGTCCTAGCAGAGGAATAAGAGAAAGAGGAATTCATTGACTACTGGGAGTCGGGATACCCTCTCCCACCTGTTGTCCCTCACCCATTTTCACTGGCCGCGGAGTCTCCCACTAGCCGCGGAGGAAAACTTTCTTTCCAACGGCAGAGTTATTTAAGCACCGACGACGTGTGGAGTGCAGCGCTCAGCGTCAGTTGAACCTAATCACGTGTATATAATTAACCATTTATTGCAAAACCTTTGAGTATCGTAGCCGAAGTCAATGGAGTGAGGTCCAAACAGTGGAAGAGATTGAAAAACAAAGTAAAGAATTAAAAGGATCCACGTTAACAGGAATACGTTTCCTGAATCAATATCAAATAGCGTGAGGATTGATACAGCGTGGAAAAACGCACAATATTTACTTGAAGTGTTAAGCCGTAAATATCAATGCGGTGGAAGTGGAGGACACACCTCATCTGTTGGGAAATGGGTCTACCACTGACAAAAATCGGAGTATTGTGGTGTTTTGTTTCGGCAGCTAATGCACTACTTTCTTGCTGCAGTTTTTACTCACCGTACTGGATACGCGGAGAGATTTTTAATCATACAGAAGTGTATCTTGGTCTCATTCGCCGATGCAATTACCCAGTAATGTTAGAAAACCAAAGGTAAGTTTGTGACGTTATATTGAACTTTTTGGCTACTCGTTTATGTGCTTCATTTGTGATATCCAGAAACAATACAGAATTAAAAAAAATCCTAATTCTTATTGAATCTTTGTTTCTCATCCAATAGGAGACTGCACCCTATACGACAATGAGTACCTTCATATCATCAATATGTGCGCTCATCTTCTTTATGCATCTGTGTAATACGTATGCAAGCAACACACTTGATGCACACTTGCTTCCAAACCTTCACGTAACGCGAAGGCGTTGACATTTCTTTAGGCTGGAGAAATTCACAATAGATTTCGTCGAAACAGGCAGACTGTTACTTTTCGCATAGTAACGGCTTTAACTATAAACGATATAGCGTTTCGTTCGTTTTATAGTTGGTTGGTCGTAAGATACTGTACCTGCCCATTTCTTGCTATCCACTCATGCTAGAGATGTTATTTAATATAAGTTTAAATAGTTGAAACGCAAGGCTGTGTGCGTTCGTTCTACCATGCTGTAAGCAGGACGAATGGCCAAACAATGTGGCGTCCAATAGATGAAATGCGACGATTTCTCATAGATTCTTACAGATTTATTCTTCGGTGAGAGTACATCTATACGTCTAACATGATTTTTTGCCGTAAAGTTAGAAACTTCTGAGAAAACAACACGGGGCAGTCTCCTCTTTGGGAACCTCAATCATACTTAAGATTAACCAGCCTATGTCTGTAGCACAACGAAAGTTATTCTGTGGAGTAATTTGTTCTTTATTTCCTATTTCTAAAATAAATAAGATTTTTTTGAAGGTGCCACAACTTGGTCATTTTTACATTACTGCGGGATGTTTATTGAAAATGTATCTTACATTAAGTAGGGCTAATTTCGATTCAAGCAGAAATAACAGATTTTTAGTTCCAAGATTTTTTAGGGAAATATCGCATTTCTATTTAAGGTAATACAGCCATACATACAGCCAAGAGTTGGCGTACAGTGGATCTCGGCAACTCGTCTATTATTGTGGTCGAACAATTTTTATCTAGCTAGCATTGTGATGATAGAATGAATAAAAACTTCGTGATAATACGTGCTACTATATAATGCATAAAATATATTCACGATTAACCATCTGAGAAATGTGACCCTTCCCTAAAGGCTTTATGTATTATGGTAACCTCATGATGGTCGTTGCATTTCGCCAAATTGCTTCGAGGAATACTGTTATTTTCATGCTTGCATGTTTGGCCGGCTCTTATTTTTACACACTGATAGAGGCAAAGGAAGATCATTTTTTTTTTTTGTATTTAAGCATAACCGCGATTCACGTTGATGTCGATCCCAGTCTAGCAAACTAGACAACAGTCCCCTTCCATGTCTTCAGCAGCCTTACGTTTCTTTGCTTACCTGCCGTTGTGTGGTGGTTCTATCCGGGAGCATTTTGCATGGTGGTTTCTTAACTAGACCAAAGCTTGCTCTAGCAATATTTATCTCATAGACGTAAGGGCTGCAAAGGGACTCTCTTTTCTCTTTCCCTCACTTACCGCCGGTCCGTTCGATTACCGCCCCACCACTTTACAGGTTCCTTTTGCGGATCGTTCTCTTGCTTCCGTCCCTGTCCCAGTACGCTCATCAACAGCTTCACTCCGTAAACGAAACCCTAATTCTACAGCCAATTGCTGCCGTCTGAGGGGGAATCGCCAGCCGAGGATTCGCGTTTGGTTAGCGTAAAGGTTGTGATAGTTGAGCAGTTCTCGCTGCTGTCTAGTGTTTCGGATGCCTCCCTTCCCGCTCTCTCACGGGCTCAGGGAAGCCAAAGAAGCCGTTGTTACCGTCTGCTCACACTAGCATTGGTACTATTTCTTCTTTTTCTATGCAATTATACCATACAGCAGTTGCGTTCCGCCTAATGCAGCTTCGGTAGCCCCGCGAGACAGGAGAGGCGAGATATGAAGCGAACTCTTTGCTGTCACACTTTTTATTTTCCTTTTCATCGAAATGGTCGGCAGCCATGCGAATGGCTGCGGCGTACGAGGCGCCAAAGTGCAAAAACCAAACCCAACCAGAGGAACGAACTGGCCGGCCAACCAGCTGAAGGAATGACCAAAGAGCAATGCCATCCGTTATATCCACCAGATATAGAATAGAAGGAAGCGAAGAAGGCGCTAGTTTCCCGGATAAAGCTGCAAAAGAAAAAAACGGTAGAGATAGGAAATGGTGAGCGATACACGCAATCCCATTTCGGGTAGTGTACTCAGGAGTTGGGGTGCAATCTTGTCGCAGATGTTGGGAAGAGCCCAAGGATAAAAGCGGCTAAGAGAAGCATCGAGAAACGCCACGAAGGCATTAAACCCTATGAGAAACTTTAACAGAAGGAAACGCGTACAGTAGACAGTCGAGCGAGCGGGAACATTACTATAGAGCACAACATGGATAACATGAGCGATCTGATCAATGGGATGATGTCGTAGAAGTAAAACATATATTTTAATTACAATAGTTCTTGGAATATTTTTCAAGTCGAATAATGGGTGGGTTTTACTAAGAATAGGTGTAGATTGAAGAACTTGTTAGGGTGCATCGATGGCTAGGCGCAACGTTTTTCTGATGCATTCTCATGGTATTTTCTTTTTTTATTTAGAATTAAATGTATTTGTGGAAAGACTAGTCGGCGCGACAGATTAAGATTTTGGACGGAAATGTCTAGATGGCTGGTTCTAGTTTCTACTGAGTTTTGAGTGATGACTCAACAAAGTTTCAAAATAAAACATACATATCTAGAACAAAAGATACTGTAAAGGCCAAGGTCTTCAAATAAAAGTGAGTAGGTCCTATAAACGACAATAAATAATGCAACAGTTAAATTTTGACCACACGTGAGACTTCAAAATTGTCGAATAGTAAGGTCAAAAACAAGTACTTCTTTTTTTGTACCTACGCAGTTATTTACCATAAAGCAGATATAAGTGGCAACATTTAGCATGCAGCAACTGAGAATCGTATTGTTTCATACTCTATCTTATTACTTTTAGGGTCTAGCAAGCACTTTATTAAATCTGAATATAGATCAACGTGTTGATTGATGAAAGCCAATAAATAACGATAAATTGTCCTGCCGAATTTTAGGCAATGTCCGACATTTGCTTAGGTGACGCAATTGCAGTCTCAGAAACTTTGAGCTTAAGCATCTATGGCTTAAATCCCGAAGATCATGTGTACGTCTATCCCCTATATATTAGTGCCTTGTAGAGTTGTCAAATCTATTGTTATTTTTGTATCCAAAATGGAAAACTGTGCATATTTGTGTTACTAAAATGATCCATATAAAAGTAGTATCTTTAAGCTGATATCGTCATGAGCTGGCAGAGGTTCATCTCGAGACTGACTGCGCTTGAGATCCGTTGAACAGCGGCTTTGGAACAGACACCTTCATTCCAATACAGGATTGTGTTCATTTGGACGAATTGACCTTTTTTCGTTATTTGTTCGGCATCCGTTTGGCAATTTTAAAAGCTTTATATTAGAATAGTGTTTGTCTTTTCAACATCTACAAAATCAGCACAATATGAGAAAAATTAGACATCCGACTACACCTTTGTCATTTATCGGTAGAATAATGATTTTTGCGAAAATAGTATGGCAGTGTACAAGTTGGGAAACTGTAAGAAGAAAACGTAATGACACACCCAGATTACCGCAAAAGGGTTTCAATGGGAGGTCGGGGCTAGTAGCTGCTGAGTCAAAGAAGTACCAACGATTTTTAGCAACTGCGCACACCTTAACTGTTCAAATCCCAGTTTTTCTCTTCGAATCAATCCTTTCCGGATTCAGTGCACGTGTGTACCTCTCTTCAATGCTCGATACCGTTTCCATTCTCAGTCGCGGAAATAAACCTCAATTCAGTTTTCCTTATGCTTTCGGTTGAGATTAATCTTTTGGCTTTTTCCGTTTCTAGCACAGTGTACCCTGGCGCTCTGTTTTCATTTTCTATAGAAATGAAACACGGTTAAAGTTACTGACTTCACGGCTCTCACAAAATCCAACGTACATGTTTCATTGGCTAGTTTGAACTTGAGATCAGTTAATCTCTCGAGAACCAGAGCATATGCAATGTAATAATGGGCTAATTACACTGAAAGGGCGGAACAATTAGGACAGAAAACGTAAATGTCTATAGGAAAATTTTAGTATGATAACGGCACCATTATAGCGGGGTTATTGTAATGCTGCATAGATAAGGCTAGGAGACAGAATAGATTCACGAAATCAAGGAAATAGAATTATCATAATCTGCACGGTTGAGGCTTCGTTGAGTATGCCTATGTGAAAATTTAGAAAAAAAAAATGGTTACAATTGGAAATGTATGGCAACGTATGTATGGGGATTATTACAAAAACGTTTCGACAGGAGAACGTTATTTATCAGCGAAGTAACGGGATGATGGCGACCGTGCGGTAGCGGTTTTGTGTTTGAGTGAAGGTTTGGATTTTGTAAAGCCTCGAAGATGGACTAGTGTCACGTGCGAAACCAGAGATTAATAGCTGAAATGAAAACTGTTTCTATTGGCAATTCTGAGGCCTACCTCAGGTATTTCCTTAAAAAACAGGATACATACAGCATGGTGAAGGATCAGTTGCAATAGAACAGTCGTAACAACGAGTGGACTAACTGCGACAAAGTCATACAAACATAAAAAAAACAAAGAGATTCGAACAAAATAAGCTTCGTAGAGTAAAAGAAGTAGTTCAGTAGGGTAGGGAAACACTACAACAGGATAATAAAGTAAGAACTCTATAATAACGGGCATATGAGGATAATTGAATAGATTTACGGAATCTGGGAAATATTATATAATTGCCATTAGCAAAGTGCGCAGCAAAATAACTGAATTAGCGCGATAATTTTAGGCGACTTCCAATCAAATAGTTATGTAGATAAACATCTCCAATTGAGCTCGATAGTCTGTTAGAACCGAACAAAAGGCTAATGGCGCCAAAATGATAAGACTACAAACAGTGGCTAAAGATTTGACTAAATAGGCGAAAAAACTTAGTGTAATTAGATAGCGATAAAATAATGTTAGACTGAATGTAATACTAATCAGACTGGTTAATAATACAACACACTGATCAAATAACTGCAGCGAAACAACAGATTAGTTAGGGGGTTTCAAGGAGGTATGGATCAGGGTAAATGCAATGAATAACTCTTCGTCGTATCC